ACATCTCAAAATATTTTTAATCAACATTAAGTACCTTGCAATTTAAAAAAGCTAAAAATTTAATATTCCTAACTCCTATTTCCTAAGCAACGCATGGTTTAGTTAGACGAAGCTACAACTTAATGAAAGTTGCTAATTCCTAAGAAACGCATGGCAGTGGGAAAGGGAGAGAGAAGTTAAAGTAAACATTCTAATATTCCCGATGTCATCGGACCCCAATGGAATTGAATGCCTTGAACGAGCGGCTGGGTGATAAGAACCGACTGGCCGGTTCGAATGGTTAATTGTACGGACGGTCAACTGACCGGTCGGTTCTGTTTCTAGTCATTAGTCAAGCAGGTGATCTAGTCCCAATTTTATCGGTTCGGCTAATATGAATGTATACATGACAGTAAGAATACATGTTATCATATTTAATCATTGTCTATCATTAGTTATAACTCTACATCAGGGATAATATATTTGGTCTTTGATATTTTCTCACTAAAAATTGGTAGACTACAATATATCATGATGAACCACTGCTTCAATGCAAAAAAACTAAAATTGTGCTAAAAATAACTAAAGAAAATTTGGTAGATTAGCGAGCCCGCTTCATCTGTGCAAATATTTTTGAAATCTAAATCAAAACAAAGAAGATACAAGCCAATTAAACTAACTAAAGAAAAATAAATATCTAGTCTCACTTTTAGATCTGATCCTACTTAAAATTAGATCTGATCCGTCTTCATAATTGGCTTGTATCAAAACAAAGAAGATACAAGCCAATTAAACTAACTAAAGAAAAATAAATATCTAGTCTCACTTTTAGATCTGATCCTACTTAAAATTAAATATGATCCGTCTTCATAATCGTTTCCTTTTTGGAGCTTATTGGGTTGCCTTAATCTAGTAAAAACAGTTGTGGATGGAAAATTTATTATAAAAAAGTTGAAATTCCCAAATGGAAAATAGCAAGATACCCAAATAAATAACTTCGTGGCATTCCAAAACACTTAACTATGCTAGAAGACTGCAACTTGTCTCCTATGTTCTGATGAAGGGTCCGGGGGGGGGGGGGGGGGGAGGAGGGGGTGTTCTCTAGTATTGGATGCAAATCTTTCTTCTGCCCAGAACATTGTTAAAGCAAATTCAAGATGAGTGTTCCAATCTCATTTGACAGGGAGGTGATGAAGTGAGGGAAAATGAAAATTGGGAAAGAATGCCAAGGCCACGGAAGGAAGGCGATTTGGTGCTTCGAGACTCACCAGCATGGAACTTGGTGTGTATAGCCCGAATGATCTACCTGATATTGATGCATAGTGGAGCTATATGGGTTGCATGGATCAAACATTACAAGGTGAAATCAGGTAGTTAGTCCAAGCAGTTTCTGGGCCTGGCGACGTGCTTTCAAAACAAGGTCAGTGCTCAAGCCTCACTTAATTAAGAGTGCATGACTGGGGTAGCAAGCCTACGCATGTTTTTAAAGTTTCAATAGTGTGAGAGGCTCTGAGGATAAAATATACTGAGATTGATTGGGTAAGGTTGATATGACATAGTCACAAAGGATAAGCTACTGAAAATAGATGAAAGCTATAAATGATTAGTGTTTACTGTGTAATAACGAGATGGATATCATGGATCATCTGTTGTTTAGGTGTATTTTCCCTCAGCAGGTACTGGCAGCTCTAAACTTCACGACTCTCTTGTGTTAAGGGACTTGGGAGGCTACTCTTGCCACAGGTTATGAGATGTGTTGGCTACAAACAACAACGAAAGACTGACCGACTTAGTATGGTGTTTGAGTAGTGCTTGCTTATGAAGGGAGCATTGTAAGGAAAACTTGGAATGGCCTAATATATTTGAGTGGAAATGTAGGAGACCCTCTTCTAGGGTTTTTCAAGTTGGGTTAAGATCTTGGGTCCCCATTCGATTATTTGTATCGATTATGACCAATAAAAAGGGAATTAGGAATTGGAAATGGAAATTAGGGATTGAGGATCGAAGAAGGTAATTGGAGAAGAATTGGGATAGAATGTCCGACGACCTTTGGGAAGAAAAGGGTCAAGAACTGAGAGGAATATGAGAGATTAGGGTTAATAGACTTTTCTTAATATTCTTCTTAATTGATTCTAAATAAAACCTAAAATACATATTTTATAAAAAAATAGTGAAGTAAACCTAATAAATAACATAATACTACATGATTACTACTAACCCTAACAATAATTATCCTACTATTAATAATAAGAAAAACTCACACAATTTGGTTTCTTACAAACCATCCCCTTAATAGCAACCTTGTCCTCAAGGTTGCAGTCAACTCTTGTTTTCTTCACCTTCCGCTTTCTTCGTTTTCAATTGCACTCAATCTCCCTAACGAATTCCTCTTCGACACTCTAAAGCCCCTCGATTCTTCTCCAACCACGTGACACATGTCAAATTGTCAATATCTAAACAATTCTTCTTCCTCCTTTTCGAAATCTACAAAATAAGAATTAGGGAATTGTTCTTCCTTTTGCCCATCCTCATTACCCACATTGAAATCTTCAATGGACTCCTCCATAAATTATGCCACGTGCAAGGTGGTGAATACATGCCCTTTTGTGATTCTCTCTTTTGCAAATGAGTTTGGGCTAGGGTCTCTTGAAAGCCCATCTTCTATCCCAGCCAGCCCACTTCCTTCTTCCTTTAAGTTCTCTCCATACAAAATAGATCCAACAAGACATCCCATTGGTTGTGCACGTTTCTCCTGAAATCTTGGCTCTTTCCCTTGAAACCAGCTGCCCTTTTTCTTGTTCAGCCACAACCAAACTCTGTCTTGGCCCACTTCATTTTTAGTTGCGACCCAAGAATTGGCTTAGTATGCTGATTCTTATGGCTCAAAACGAGCCAAGCAAGCTTCTTTTCCTCTTCCCAGATTGCTCCCTCTGACCCAACTAGGTCCGTGATCGAAGAGATTCAGCCCACTATGGTGGCTAGTTGTTGCGCTATGTAGTCCACGGTCTAGGTTCTGCAAGAAGAGTGGCGTCGCCATCCTTCTTCTCCTTGTTCACGGGCAACTACTCTGTTTGGTCCTCATCAGCGTGCAACTCACCGGATGATGAAAACGTGGCTCTGCGGTCATTGCCAATGGGTTTGCCCGGACATCCGTTGACATGATGAATGAAGGAAATTCACTGCTGATATTCCTTGCTAGATTCCCCTCCTTCTTATCCTTTTGGAGGATTTTGAAATTGAGAAATTGGGTAGTTTTTAGGGTATCTAGTACACTAGTATAGTACTTTTGCGACAATATACTTTTCATCTGCAGGAGTGGGTGGGTTTGAACCAGCTTGTTCCGGTTTTTGAGTTAGTGGTTTAGGGTAGGCAGAGTAAAGTTATCGACGGAGTGGTCTATTGTTTAACGCAGTGGTAATGTTACCGGATGGAATGATACATTTTTAACGCAGTGGTACATTTTTGTAGGTGGTTAGAGAGAGTCTGACGTAAGGATTTCACCAGTGAACGTTTGCCGATCGAAAAAAGTTTGACGGTCGAAGACAAAGAAGCTGCTGAAAAAGAAAGAGAGAGCAAGAGATAGAGAGGAAAATGTATTTAATGTATGATTTAAATTTCAAAGCAAAATAATGTATTTAATATAGTTTATTAATTCCTAAAGTACCATTAATACAAAAAGGTAATTAATGAAATTTTTTTTGGCAATACTCAAATTACCCGTAATAGTGAAAATCACAACCCCTCCCCAAAAAGTTTGGTTCTAGGCTTCTAGCCTTGGACTGACTGATTGTTTTGGCTTCCCAAAAGATTATTATAGTGACAAGACCGAAGCAACATGTTGCAAAGTAAATCCATCCAACTGTAATGACAAGCCTTTCTTGCAATATTGCAATCATAGATCAAGAACATGCTTAGGATTATGTAAGAAACACATACAAAAACTATTACATGCACACACAAATATAGAAAAGTAACCGTGTAAGGGACTTTTTGTGGATGCAATAGTGGCTAAAAGCCATGCAAGAATTGGACTTGCACAAGGGGGGAAGATGATTAGAGGAATGAAGAACTTCATTCCTGATTGGACTCCTAAATGCTTCCAATTACTGTAAAAAATTTCCAACACCCAAAATCAATGGTAATGCTAAAAAAATGCATTTATAAGTGATGGGAATAGGAAAATATAATAAAAAGATTTAGAGGTGATTCAGACTGAAATCATAATAGGTGTTACTTCTTTTCGAATCAAACAAATTTAGACAAGTAAATCGACTTGAATAGTGAAATACCATTCAAGGCTCACCTCGAGGTGGATGTAACACGAACTGTAAGGACATTTTTAGAGTAGAACTTGTCACCTGCTCTAAAGAGACGAGAGCATAAGCTTATGCAGCCACTTTCGGTTAGGTGGTGCGAGAAGCTTTATAAGACAAAACACCATCGAATTAGGAAAGTCAAGTCATAGGACCTTATTGAAGGTGAAAGACCTTATTGAAAAATGAAAAATCAAGAAGGGAAGAAGGATCTTGTTAGTTAGTGCTAATATCATTTTCATCAAAGAGACATCAAATAGTATAGGGGTTTTGTTTTTCTTCTCCATTCTTATAATGTAGGTGGGTCTTTCCTCTAAATGCCAAACACATGAATTATAACTAACTAACAACTTTCCTAACTTACTTAAACTAGCCTAACTTGATGTGAAACTACCCATGTTCCATAAACCGTGACCTACAAACAATCCACCATTCATTCAAAGCCACCCCTTAACAGTAACTTTGTTCCGCTACCAGTAGGTACAATTTTGCCGATTTTTGGTAGGTGTCTATGGTGCCAAAACAAGGAAGGCCTTCAACTCACGTATATCTCTAATACACTACACAAGCCCGTTGACCTCCCTCCACTTTCTTCACTACACTTGCCCACTTAATTTACTCTCTCTCTCTCTCTCTCTCTCTCTCTCTCTTCCCACTGTCGTCTCTTTACTCTCACTACTCAGTCTATATAAACCCTCTCCCCTTCCCTTCCTTCAACACCATCCATCCTCTCATCTCTTCTCTTCTTCCTCGTTATCAACTCCACTTGGGAGCTTGTGCAACTCTTCTCTTCACTTCCATTACTCCTCTGCTTCTTCTGCTCTCCTCTACATCAATTCCCAAAACCCCATATTCATTAACCCAATTTCCTACCCTCCAACTACCTACACACCCCAAAAGCAGGGGAAATGGCTCCAGACACTGATTATGGGAAGAGCCTTAACAACAACAACAACAATGGCTTCCCTCACCACCAAGTCCTCAATGTCTCATCCACCGTTCAACCCCAACCCGCCCCCTCCAAGTGGTTCGACGACGACGGTCGACCCAAGCGAACCGGTACGACCAAACCCTTCCCCCTCCCTGCAATTGCATGTCTCTGTTTCTTGAGAATTTTTTCTTTACGCTGTTGGGTTTGTTTTCAGGGACTGTGTGGACGGCGAGTGCCCACATCATAACGGCTGTGATCGGCTCCGGCGTGCTGTCGTTGGCTTGGGCCACTGCTCAGCTCGGATGGATCGCCGGTCCTTCCGTTATGTTTCTCTTCTCCTTCGTCACTTACTACACTTCCACTCTCCTCGCTTCCTGCTACCGCTCCGGCGATCCCCTCACCGGGAAGAGAAACTATACCTACATGGACGCAGTCAAATCCAATCTCGGTAAGGGTTTATCTGAATCTTCACGTTTACGCTTCAGGATTTTTCGTATTCCTCTGTTTCTTACAATTTCCCCTGTTCTGTTTTCTGCAGGGGGCTCCATGGTCAAACTTTGTGGCAGTGTTCAGTACATGAATCTCTTCGGTGTAGCAATTGGATACACAATCGCATCTTCCATCAGCATGATGTGAGCTCTTCTCCTATGATTAGCCGTAAAAATCCCAACTTTTACTCGAACCAAATCTGATAACTTTCCTCTGTTTTTTCCCCTTTCTGCAACTCAGGGCGGTGAAGAGGTCGAACTGTTTCCACGCGAGCAAGGGGAAAGACCCATGCCACATGAACGCGAACCCATACATGATCGCATTCGGAATCGTGGAGATAATCTTCTCCCAAATCCCCGACTTCGATCAGCTCTGGTGGCTCTCCATTGTCGCGGCCGTCATGTCCTTCACTTACTCCACCATCGGCCTGGGCCTCGGCGTGGCACAAGTCGTACAGAACGGGAAAATCCTCGGCAGCCTCACCGGAATCACCATCGGTCCATCCGTCACCCAAACCCAGAAGATCTGGAAGAGCTTCCAAGCCCTCGGCGACATCGCTTTCGCTTACTCCTACTCCATTATCCTCATTGAAATCCAGGTACTAAGAACAATTCCACTCTGTTTCCTATCTTCCCTGTTTCTTGATCCTCTGTTTTCCCCCTCTAACCAACCCTGTTGTGAAATTTTAGGACACGATCAAATCCCCACCGGCGGAAGCCAAGACGATGTCGAAAGCATCACTGGTCAGCGTCTCCGTCACAACTCTGTTCTACATGCTCTGCGGCAGCTTCGGCTACGCAGCATTCGGGGACAAATCTCCAGGAAACTTGCTAACAGGGTTCGGCTTCTACAACCCGTACTGGCTTCTCGACATCGCCAACGTCGCCATTGTAGTCCACCTCGTCGGAGCTTACCAGGTGTACTGCCAGCCCCTTTTCGCCTTCGTCGAAAAGCAGGCTGTCCAGAGATTCCCTGACAGCTACATCATCACCAACGACATTCGAATCCCACTAGGCGGTCGCCGCCATTACAACCTCAACATGTTCAGAATGGTTTGGAGGACGATCTTCGTGGTGCTGACAACTCTGATTGCGATGCTGCTTCCGTTCTTCAACGGCATCGTGGGTTTGCTTGGAGCGTTGGGGTTCTGGCCGCTGACAGTCTACTTCCCTGTGGAGATGTACATTGCGCAGAAGAAGATCCCCAAATGGAGCACCAGATGGATCTGCCTCCAGATTCTGAGCGCTGCTTGTTTGATCATTACTGTTGCTGCGGCTACTGGTTCGATTGCTGGAGTTCTTCACGATCTCAAGACCGCCAAGCCTTTCCATACCACGTATTGATGATTTAAGGGAAGGAGGAAACGAAAGAAAAAATGGGTTTCATAAATAAGGAGAAGCTCAGCTATAGGGCAGATGAATTGTTGTGTTCCCTCGTGTCCATAAGGTCCGAATTTTATGTTGTACTAAAATCTAGCTGTTCAATGGTTGTAAGTTGCTCTTGTTGTCAATCTTTCAGCTCTGTAATTGTCCATTGATTATTATCTTTGCTTCAATGAAAATTGGGAAAGCAAGCAAGTATGGATTTCTATGCACATCTCATCTCATCTAATGGGGTTTCTGGGTTCTTCGTTTTGTCTTATGGTATTGGTTATATGTTTGTTATACCTCCGGTACGGTTTCAGGATCCATGTTTCTGTCACGATACACAAGACTACTGTTAAATTAGTGAGGGAATCTATAATCAACTGTTAGGTCTATTGAAAGATTTGAAGGGTGTCCCCTGTGACAAAGACGTTGTGCTGTAGCTGTTGGATTGGATTTAGAACCAACTGCTTGTTGGGATTTGGTTTGATCAAGACCTCAATCGACAGGCATTCCCATTAGCAGCATAGGCTTCTTCTCGTAGCCAACCAATTAGGAGATCGGCAGTAGCAGGATGGGATGGGAAGTTCCTCTTTCTTTGGATGGTCGAGGTTGAATAAGGTTAGTGGGCATCTTTTGTTAGGACTTAGGACCATCGAAAGTGCAGGAATGACCCACTAAAAAGGCTCTCCCTTTTGCTTTGCATTTTGGTGTTTGAACCACAGCTTGCTTGATTTCTAGCAGATCCCTGTGGAAAAAAACTAACGTCACTGTTAGTTTGAAAGGTCATGGAGATAAGAAGAATAGGATCAGAGAGTGAAGATGATAGATCAATGGTAGTAAGGCGCCAAAAATCCATGGGTACGATATTGGTTTGTCTGGGTTTGAAACGATGAAAGAATCTTGGTGATCCTCCACTCACTTGTGCAGTGGAACTAAAGATTGTTAGTTATGGCCTATGGGTGAGATATAGTGATATTGACATATAACGTCGAAAAAGTAGAGCCATTGATTCCTCAAAGGCTCAAACATAGTTTCATAAAAACATCTTGTTATGGGGTCTTGCTTGTGATGTATATAAGGACTCATAGGAATTGGGATTTTTCCCCTAAATACAATAATAATTAAAAAAAATTCTACAATACATAACTTTTATAAAAATTTCCCAAGATACCCAAGTTTGGTATAGATCGAATTCAAGGAACTCGAACTATAACCAGATCGATTGCCACACCATCGATCCATATGCATCGAGTGAAAGGGGCACGATTGGCTGAGAACCGACGAAGAGGACCGAGTCTCAAAAACTCGATCTACCAAGATCGACGAAAGACGGCTCGATTTGGTTGACATGGTCGATGACATTAGACGCGTTCCACCCTAGATCGTGTTTGCAGAAATCGATCCAGTTCGTTCGATTGCCTAGGCCGCAAAGTAGTTGTGACGCGGATCGAGTGCGCAGACTCGATCTACGCAGATCGATGCGTTGGGAATCGATCTACGCAGATCGATGCGTTGGGAATCGATCTACTTGACATGGATCGATGATGTCATACACGCTCCATTGTAGATCGAGTACTCAAGACTCGGTCTCAGTCGTTCGATTTGCTTTCCCTCGAACTGCTATTGACACGAATGGATGATGCAAAACTCGATCCAGTGGTTCGAGTGTCCTTAACTCGACCCACTACCTCCCATAGAACCTATAAATCCCTCCCCCTCCATTTCACAAAAACTCACACCTCTCCACTCTACTTCCTCTCTTCCTTCCACCACTCTTGAAGAAAAAAATATGCTCTATGGTTGCGGCTAAGCCCGATCTTCTGTATCAATTTTTTATCATTTAGTTTGGTACTTCTATCCCTCAAAATTGTCGAGATGGACCCAAGTATTTATGATCCTAGATTATGAATTCAAGGCAGACCACGAGAAACCGATTTGTTGGATGAGCAACCTTACCATCAGTTTGAAAGTGTTTGGGCGGCAAACCCGATAAGCATTTCCTCGTGTACTTTTTTTTAATGTGATATTATTCTTTTAATTTTCTCATATAATAATTAATATTTTTTCTACAGGAACAACTTGATGTAATCAACAATCGGTTGCTGTCTCGCTTGCCTGCATGGGATGTTCGGATCGAGCCCTTGGTTGAAAGAGCGAGATTGCTGAGGGTGCGAAACTTTGTGGGGATGGAGATGGACAACAACCTCCTTACGGCAATGGTGGAAAGGTGGAGAAAAGAAACGCACACATTCCACCTTCTAGAGGGAGAGATGATGATTACGTTGAAGGACGTGGCCATGCTGACAGAGTTTCCAATCAATGGTGATGTCATAATAGAGAGTTCACAGAATCCATTGAATGGTTGGGGCAAATTAATTAATAAGCAAGCATTTAGGCATCAACATCCCCAAGGAAGCACCACAAGGTCGTCGTGTACCACCTCTACACGAGTTTATGTTATTGATCCCTTGGCTAGTGAGGACCGTTGGTTCGTTACCGGAGGATGCCACAGATGCTCAGATAGAGAGGTATGCTCGCAACGAACATGAATTTTTTTAGTGTCGAAAGTGATGACACAATATTGAAATCTCCTTCGCATCGCCGTTTCTTTCAATGAATCGACCACCTGAGGGTTTCCTCCGAATGCTTGACCAACCACGAACCCCGAATTAGGAGTCTGAATGGGTATAGGAGGGAGGTCAGGATCATCGTTGTGAGCATAGAGAGGATGTTGTGGCACCATCGTGTAGTGAGGTGTGGAGGCTCAAATTCCCCATCAACTTCCACATCTTCACCATCTGGACTACTCACTGATGCTAAATCTTCCTCTTCCACGTCGCTTGCCTCGCTAGTGTACGGATGACTTGGTTTATCCATATATGGATCATTGTTGATGCCAGATGCTTGTCTGGGTGCCCTTATGTAATCTCATTCTTCGCCCCATACTGGCCACTCATGTCCATCATGTTCAACAAATGGACTAGGGGCAGTTTGATCCTCATATCTTGACCATGGTACATCATGCGGACCTCCAAAATCTCTAGAACCGAAAACTCCATCCAATCCTTCACCTTGTTCAGTATAACCACATCACCATACTAGCCAACATCTTCAGTCTCGACATACACCTTGGCAATTGGAAATCTGTTTTCTGCAATAAATCTCACCATCATATTAATGTCATCATCAGACAAAATTGATTCTTCATATACAAGTGCATATCCTTTGTAAACAGGCATACGATAAGTCATCTTGCATACTCTGTGCCCCCTATGCAACATCGTTCCACACAAATGTGGCAGAGATCTTGCCAAGTAAAATGGTCTCAATCCGGATAGTACTTGATTCACCATCTTCGTAGTAAATACTATTCTGAAAATATGTAATTCGACCATTCCACCGAATCAATAGGTCGAATTTTCGAAATTTTCTACCCATTTCTGCAGTTTATAGAAACAACCCATTACATACAGTTCAAACAGTACTAAGGGGTCATTTGGAAGTTGCGTATGTTAAATCGTTGTATTGTTATGAATCACTATGATATAAATGCATGCATTGATACAATAGATGCATTTTGAAATTACATTGTTTGGTTGTTGAGATTATAATTTATGAATTGATTGTTATAAAGTTACTTTATAAGGAAATGTCATATTTGTCCTCCACTTTAATATAAAACAAAAATGTCATATTTAAACCAACAATCACAACAATCTCAACTTTTAGTTGAGATTGTACAATCCCTCATTTTTGTTGATTGTTGGTGGGGCCCACACAAAATAATACATGCATTGTTTTGCAACTTGACACTTCCAAACGTTGTATTGTGGACAATGTATGTATTTAACAAATACAACACTAACAATCGCAACTTCCAAACGAACCCTAAATTAATCCAAAATTCTAATGCTCACCCACCAACATAATCAGAACTTACCTCTAAAATTCCTCTTCTTTGCTCAGCTATGGTGCTCCAGCTACTGCAGTTTGTGTTTGGAAGAAAGAAGATAGAAAGTATATGATCTGCCAGAATGTGCTGAGAGCTTGATTTTTATTTTCGTAAACTGATGATGTGGTTCGAGGCAGTTTCCATCGAACCAGCGCAGTTCGAATGCAAGGGACTCGTTCCACTCCCACCAAAAATCTTATCCCTGCACCCTAGCCTGAAGCATGTCGAGCGGAAAGCGACTAAGCAGAATTATTGGAAAGTGGTTCTAGCCTTAAGCACTCGAACTAGAGCTGTTCGAGTCCTTAATCCTCGAACTAGTGCCACTAGTAATCGTCGTGCAATAATTCACATTGATCGAGTCATAAAGCCACGATCAAAGTAGATCGAGTCTGTCAAACTCGATGAAATTGCATATAGAGTCCTGCACAATCGATCTAGTTGGATCGAGTTTTTGTCATCGATCACCTTTTGATCAAGTCATTGACCATCGATCCTATACTTGTTCGAGTGTTTGACAGTCGATCTGATTCGTAGTTCGAGTTTTCTAAACTCGAACCAATCCAAACTTTAGTATTTTGGGAAATATTTTTAAAAGTTATGTATTGTAGGAATTTTTTTAATTTATACAGTATTTTGGGAAAATGTCCTAGGAATTGTAGGTTTAGAAGTGAAACTATTTTGATAATGATGCTGGAATGATGTCGAGGGAAGATTTTATGTGATAATGATGCTGGAATGATGTCGAGGGAAGATTTTATGTGGGGAGGCAAACGGAAAATATAACAAGTTCATTAACCCGCATTTGTTTATATTTAAATTTTGAGGAAGAAATTTGTTTTAGAGGAGTTATCACAATCTCTTCCTCTCGGTTCTACGTTTTGTGTGTGGGAATCTCGTGTCAATTAGTCATAAGTAAACTATATTAGGAGTGTTTCTAAGTTATAATTTCTTAAAGTCACCAACATTCCTTTCCTTCCATCTGCTCATTCCACAACCAACAGAGCAATTGGCAGCGACATGGATTAACGGTCGCAGCGGCAGCAAAGATCGATGATGAAAGATGCTGGAGGGAGAGTATCGGCAATGATGTTAGACCAGAGGTGGTAGTGACATGGGTCGACGGTTGCAAAGGTGGGCTAGGGTTGACAACTATAGAAACTTTGGAGATGCGGCAGTGAAGGCTTGCTATGCGGCAGTCCAGTGAAGTGGTAGTGACAGCCGGTGGATAGTCCCTTGGCATTTGCTGCTTCCCACCGTCGTTAGGGTTTCTCTTCTTTTCAGATCACCAATTGGAAAACGAGGATGAGTGAAATGCAGCAAGCCAAAGTCAACAAGTTAGATCCTTAACGACGGTGTTGATCGTTCCCGTGCGCGTCACTGTCATTTGTTTCCACAGTCTAAGTAACTATCCCATTCCGAGCCAAGTTTAACCCAATTGGAGTTGTTATATAGCGTTGACCAATGTCGCATTCCATGGGGTTTGATATCCTACCATACTTCCCGCTCTATTGTTATCTAACCAATTAGCTTTTGGGTTTGGTTTGGAGGATTCAATTGAAACTACTGGCAGGGGGAAACAGGGATAAAAGCAGGTACTTCGGGGTAACTCCCTCGCCCTAGTTTAGGTCGAACATGCAAACGAACATCTATGTTGAGTTTATCAGATATGATGTGTGAGCTCTTTTGCATGGGATTTCATGTTTATCCCACACCACCGTGGAGGCTCTACCAAGACCCATTGTCACCTTAGTCAAGACTCACGTATCAGGGGCATTAAGTATATAGCTCATTTCAATAGGTACTGCCTGTCGTGCACACCGAAGAGTCAGATATGTGCGCTTGCGAACCTCTAAAGCTTCGTCCTAGAAAGGCATTCTTATAGCAGGAGTTCGGTCGCCTCGTCCCCTACAAGACCCTAAAATCATTCATCTATCCTTAATCATCCAGTTGGCGCTACCCGTGTAACTCTAAAACTCCTACCCAACGTAGTAGCTCATCATAGGCCAGTAGAGAAGGTATGGGCAACTTTTCCAAACATAATTAAGCATACATGAAGCAACATCACTAGACAAACACATCCATTCATAAACCCTAACATAAAATATCCATATACATTATAAACCTAATATAGGGTTTGGGGGTTTTAACCCCTCGTACCTTAAAGGACTACTCCATAAAGGATGGAAGAAGAAACATGGAAGAAATTGAAGAAATCTTGATGTGGGAGATGGCTCCTTCCTTCTCCTCCTTCTCTTCTTCTCATTCTTTAAGCTTCTCTCTGTACTTTCTCTCTCAAAAACAAAAATTTCAATCAAAATCAGCTCTCTCTGCAAGGGGAAAAGGTTCTCCTATTTATAGAGTTTCTGAACCAGGTCAAGTTCATTGTCGTGCTGGTAAAGTTTGCGGGCGGGAACTTGCGGCCTGAGGTTGCAATCTTCATTCGTTGTCGTTTCATGCTCTGTTCAAGGGAGAGATTGCGGGCTGACTTCACAGTCGCGATCCGTAAGTCGCAACCGCGATCTTTCTTGCGGACTGGGAAGACGGAGGCCGCGAAACAATGATTGAAACTCTCTACTTCTCCCATGCTGGCCTCTTCTGAAGTTCACGCCCAAAATGCCAAAGGTCGCGGTCACGAACTTTGCTCCTTAGGCTGCGATCTCAGCTCCATCTTCGCGCCCTCTTTTCCCGACCGTGATCTTTTGGTTCCAAGCCGTGATCTTAGTTGTCTCATCCTTGATGCACTTGTGATTTTTTTGTACCTAATTCAGATGTATTGTCTAATACACCCTAACTATGACGATATAATCTAAAAGGAACGAAATAGAGTTGTATCCGACAATGTATTAAACAATATGCACATAAAACAACTCAAAAGGAACTAAGATATGATGTATAAATAACATCAAGTTTAGTGTTATCAGATGTCACTACGATTGAGAGGCGAATTGATGTTATTGTTCTTTATAATGTAGTAGCTCCTGGCCCGCGCTTCACAGTAGTTAGAAGGTCGCGATATTTAAAATTTTATTTATTTATTAAATAATTTAGTAGAAATCAAGTAATTCAAAAAATCAGGTAAGATACCTACATATGTGATTTATGTAATATCTAAATATTACGAATGAATTACATCATAAGATTGTTTAACTAATACATGAGAAATAACTATACGTCCATAAGTTTTACGTCGTGTCTTAACCATTATGAAAGACTTAGTGTTACATAAATCGCCAGTAACGCATGTTTTAATAATAAATCTAGTTACAGTGATGTTTGTAATGGTTACCATTATAAAATATTTTTACGTATATCTCCATTAACGTGTGGTTTAGTAATAAAATCTCGTTACGGAAAGTGTTACTTAAATATATTATACATGGAAATGAGTGTATGGAATAAAATATTAGGAAAATATAATTGATCTTACAAAATCATTGTGTAGTGCTTTGATAAAGAGGCTTATGGTAAAATTGTGGGTAGAAAAGGACGGAGGGAGAGTGACTATCCATCCATAAGTTTTACGTAGTATCTTTATCATTATGAGAAACTTAGTGTTACAAATCGTTAGTAATGTGTGGTCTAATAATAAATCTAGTT